ACTCCCTCCATGTAGGTCCTGAGGATCAAACTTGGCTCATCAGCCATGGCAGAAAGTGCCTTTATCCACTGAGCATCTCACCAGCCCAGGATTTGTTGGTGGTGTTGGTGTTAATCATTCAAAGCAGAAACTTCATCCATTTGTCCATAATGACTAATTACCCTGTTCCCCCAACCCCTGCAACAACTATTCTACTTTCTTTCTGTTTAAATTCTCCTAGTGTAACTTCTCATGTGAGTGAGATGCTTCTGGTTTTGTGTTGATGTCCTTCACTGAGTTTGATGTCCTCTAGATTTGTCCATGTTGCAGCAGATGCCAGAATTCCCCTTGTCTCTCTGGCTGTATATAGTAGTCTACTGTATGCATATATTACATTGTGCTCGTCCACATATCTTTTGACAGGCACTTGGTCTTTCTTCACCTTTTGGCTCTGTGTACCATGTTGCTGTGGACACTGGTGTGATGGTTTGAATGAGGATGGCCCCCATAGGCTCATATATTTGAGTGTTTGGTTCCCAGTTGGTAGAATGTTTAGGAAGGATTAGGAGGTGTGGCCTTGTTGGAGGAGGTGTGTCACTGTGGGTGGGCTTTGGGGTTTTTAAAGCCTATGCTAGACCCAGTCTCTCACCTTCTCTGCCTCTTGCCTCTGCATCAGGATATGAACTCAGCTACAGCTACAGCATTGTGTCCACCTGCTGGCTGATAGGTTAACCACCATGATGGTCATGGACTAACCCCCTTGCAGCAGTAAGCAAGCCCTCAATTAAATGCTCTCTTTTATAAGCTGCCTTGGTCATGGTGTTTCTTCATAGCAAAAGAACAGTGTCTGAGATAACTGATATATACATTATCTGTTTGTATCTGGGTTCTCAGTTCTTTTGGGTTATAGGTGGGAGTGGCTTTTCTGGATCATGTGGTAACTCTCATTACTCTTTGGAGGAACTTTTTTCAAAAGTGCACTTTTCCCTTACAGCAAGTCATCTTTCTGAAGACCTTCTAGAACGCTCTGGTTTTTCGCAGAAGTACTAGTTCCCTTTTCTTTTGGTCTTGTACATTGTCAGCTTCTAGGCAATTAATTAACTTGCATCATTTCAATACCAAGTGCAGCTGTCATCAGCCAGCTGGGAAACATGCACAATGGATGTTTGCTAAGCACAATTCACCCAGCAAGGGCCAGAAGTGGATAGAAAGTATGTTCTAGAAGAGCCCCAGAATTTCACAGGTTCTGGTCAGCTGAGGATAGAATCTGGAATGGATGGGCAGCATTGGGTAACTGGGCCAAGAAAGATGGCTGCTCATCGACCAAATTACCTCCGCCCTAAGTTGTAGAAAGAAACACAGCAACAAGTGACTTTGGAACCAGAAGGACCCAGCAGCTGGTCACATTTGATGCCCTGGTTTAGAGACAAGAGAATAGCCCAGGTAGCAAAGGCTAAAAAAGGTCTAGTCCTTTTTTGCTGTAACTTCTGTGAGTGTGTGTGTGTGTGTGTGTGTGTGTGTGTGTGTGTGTGTGTGTGTGTACACATGCATGTGGAGGCCAGAGATCAATATTGGATGTTCTTTTTGATAGCCTTTGACTGTTTAAGTCTCAGTGAACCTGGAGCTTATCCATTCAGCGAGGCTGACTGGCTGGCGACCTTCTGAAATCCTCCTGCCTCTACTCCTGTACCGTACTTACAGATGCATGCCACCATGCCCGACTTTTCACATGAGTACTGGGGATCTGAACTCAGATCCTCTTGTTGGCAGGACAGGCACTTTATTGCTAGAATTACCTCCCCAACACCTTTTATGACTTCTCGAATGTAAGAAAAGCCCAGTGAAGAAGAGACATCAGGTTTACTCCCTAGGATACATCTTCTCTTTAGACTTAATTTAACATGCTGATAAATGGGAATAAACAGGGAATGGAGGAGTATAGCTTTTGAAGATAGCTTTGAAGTGAAGATTCCATGGTGAGGTGTGAGTAGAAGCTTTTCTAGACAGTTCTGAGGGGGAAACCAGGAAGCCTGTGGAGGTACACTTTTAAAAAGCATCATCAGTCCTTGTTAGCCTCTCAGATGATTAAAGGTTTGGGAGTCTGCCCCTCTAAACACGGTCTAAAGGAACTCCGTTTATTTAGCTTAGAGAGAAAACATGCGTGCTGAGGGGACTTAATAACAGTCTTCAGGAGCAGGCAGACTATTCTCTGAGTGATGAGAAACAGCTGTTTCCTGTTTCTGCTCAGGACAGGAGAAGAGTGGAGTCAGGACTGTGAGTGAATTTAAGAAGTCATTGTCCAGAGAGTTCAAGACACTGACTTGACGCAGGAAGAGAAACCAGCACTTCTCTGTCTCAGAATTACATGGCCTCCTGTCTTTTTTGGGGTTATTGACTTGTGGCCTTTTCATGACTCTTAAACCTGGATAAAAACAATTCAGCATGCCCTTCTCTGATTTAAATAAAAAAGTGAGTTGTTCATTGACTGAGCCTTGCAGTGCTCTGTGGTTGAGGAAGCCGCAATCCCGAACTCTTCAGTGGATTCACAACAGAAAAAGCCAGAGTCCCTATGCTATCCTGTATTCCCCCTCTTGAAATCAGGATAATGTAGATTTACTCCCCTATAAGGTACAGAATTCCCAGCAATAGGCTGGTGAGGTGGCCCAGCAGACAAAGATGTCTGCCACCAATTCTGCTGACCTGAGTTCCATCCCTGGAACAGAAAGTACCCAGATTACCTCATAACAATGCAGCACCTCATAGAAGACCTACTAGGAGAAAAGTCCCCGGCAGAAGAGTCTGGGCATGCTCCAAACCGTTGGCCAGTCAGGGAAGTGGATGAAATTCCACTTCCACTCTTGTTTTTGTCATTCTTACCCCATATTGGTCACATTGTGCCACTTCTTCTCAGTTGGATAAGTTGTGTCTTATTCGCCCAAGACAGCTCTTCTCTGTAGAGGACTCACGGATGCAGTTTTATATCATGCTCAGTCAACTAGGTATGTATTCCGCCTGCATCGAGATTTATTATAATCTTCTTCAAAGATTTTTGCTTTGATTATTGGATTCTTTCTATCCTGTGAAAAAGGGCAGTGACCCCAAGGTCCCACTCTGACTGTCATAACAAAGTGGGAAAATGGCTTGGGGGTGGGGCGGGCTTTGAATCCTCCCTGATTTTCCATTTGCTTAATCTACTTTACAGGAATCTTTGGAGGATTAAATTAAACCAAATAGCATGCGTTAAGCCCGAGTCCATTGTACCCAGCCCTCAAGTCATATTCACTGCTTTTCTTTAACTGGTAAAAAGAACTTCTTGCCTCTTACAGGATCATGATTACCCCTACATTCTTCCATTTAGCGGGGTTTGTCCACTGGGGCAGGCCTGTGGAATAAGTTTGTCCAAAGTTCATGAGGACACCTGAGCATGTAAATGTATGAGTCTGCTTTCTTTCTTCTTTCCCTTCTTCTCTCCATCCTTCCTCCTTCCTTCTTTTTGTCTTTCCCTCTCCCCTCCTTTATTACTTTGTTTTTATTTCCTTTTGTACCACCCCTTTTTCCCTATCCCTCCCTCCCTCCCTCCCTTCCTTCTCTAGTCTGGGGATTCCAGGCAAGCACTCTCCCTCTGAACTGCAGCCCCAACTCTGGCTTCTCCCTCCCTCCCTCCCTCCCTCCCTCCCTTCCTTCTCTAGTCTGGGGATTCCAGGCAAGCACTCTCCCTCTGAACTGCAGCCCCAACTCTGGCTTCTTTCTTCTCCACAGTACTTTGTCAGTCCTAGGGTGAATGTACTCTAACTCCAAAGATCCCAGGAAGCATTTGTTGCCATATTATCTGAAGCAAACTGTGAAGATGTGTGTGTGTGTGTGTGTGTGTGTGTGTGTGTGTAGGGGGAGGAATGGTGGGTGGGTAGGGGGAGGAATGCATTAACAACTAGTTGGAAGGTAACATGTTTTGGTTTTGCAGCTTACCAGGGTGCAAATCTATCTACTAGATATCTAGGGAGTCATTTTAGTAGCTGTTGAATCAGTGGAGTGCTACTCTTTGAAATGATGCAAGTTGATGGCATGACCCCATGATCTGCAGAAGCTTCTGATTTACTGGAGGGACCAAATCCCTAAATAGAAAATACTCTCAAAAGTAGACTGAGAATCAGGAAGATCTGTATACAACACTATGGCTGGAGCCCCTCAGTACTGCTGAAGGGCAAGCCATGGGCTGCACATAGGATTCACTAGAGCTCCGGGAAACTTAGGGTCACAGTTTAGTTCATAAAACACGATCATTTTAAAACAGACTTGTAGAACTCGCCTCAGATGTACACTCCCGGTTGCAATCCTAGAGCTTCCTGTCATAGCTCCTTCTCTATCTTCCTGAAGTCTTGGTGCTCAGGTGGATCTGTTTTCAGACTCTCATTGGCACACTGTGCCAGACCGTTCCTGCCCAAAGTCCTTCTGAGATGGCAGGATGCAGGATTTCATCATAAATCACACAGCCAGTGGTTTACCTCAAAAGCAGGGCACATATTTTAACACCAGCAGATTTAGGAAACAGGGGCCAAGCCCTTTCTCTCTCTCTATGAGAAGATTTATAATCCAGGCACCTGGGAGGGAGGGTGTGGGTCTTCTGAACTGCGCCCTCATCTCCCAGATCCCCAAATTAAAGAAGTAAGGAGACAGAACAACAAAGCCACAAACTTCATAGCGTTAAAAAAAATAACATGGCGGATTGTTACAGAACTTTTGTCAGCAAAGTAAAATAACGGCTGTCACTTTCTTCAACACCAGACTTTATGGTTGCTGCCATCTTTATCAGAACACACGGCGGATTTCGTAGTTGTACTTTCCAGAACAAATGGCTGGTATTATGTTCTCATGCACGGAACCGCACTGTCCGGGATGGCGATGCGCGAAGACAGGCTTGGAGCTAAACGTCCATGATGACTCGGAATAGTGTGACTGGTTTGGGTTTGGTAACCCTGCCAGCATCCAGCTGAGTGGTTTCTCTTGTTCTCTTCCCTCTCTAGATCCTCAAATCCAAAGACTTAACGTCCCCAACGCAGCGCTACATTGATAGCAAGGTTGTGAAAACGCGAGCGGAAGGCGAATGGCTGTCCTTCGATGTGACTGACGCCGTGCATGAGTGGCTCCACCACAAAGGTTACACCGCACCTCCTTCTTCCCTCCCTAGATGTGGGCCCACAGCTCGTGACCGGACGGCAGGCGCAGACCGCACACGTGCAAATGACTTCCTTAACTTTCTGTTTTCCAGACAGGAACCTGGGATTCAAGATAAGTTTGCACTGCCCCTGCTGTACCTTCGTGCCTTCGAATAATTACATCATCCCCAATAAAAGCGAAGAGCTCGAGGCGAGATTTGCAGGTAACCGAGGCTTTCTCCTCACTCTGAGAGGCTCTGCGGAGGAGCGGGGTCAGTTTGCGTGTGAAAATGGCATCATTTGGTGAAGGGTGGAAACTTTCGTTTATCTGGGCGATGATCTGCTCGGTGGGAGAGAGAAGAAAGTAGGAAGTGTGCCTGGAGAGAGGACTCAGTGGTTAAGAGCAGGTACTGCTCTCGCAAAAGATCTGAGTTCAGTCCCCGGAACCCACACCAGGGAGCTCACAACCGCTTATAACTCCTGTTCCAGGGGAATCTGGCGACCTCTTCTGGCCTCCAAGGGCACCTGCACTCAAGGACACACACACACACACACAGACAGACAGACAGACACACACACACACACACACACACACACACACACACACACACTTCAAAGATAAAATGAAAATACTTTCTTTTACGTGGAAAGGATTGGAAGAAAGGAATAGACTCCAGATTTTCACTGCTTCATGCCTAGTGATGAAACTGGCTAAGTAACCCTGTCACTAAGCCCTTAATTCTTCACTTAGGCAAACCAGCTTCCTATCTGCTGAGATATTGAAGTAGATAACAAGGATTCAAAGAAATCCATTTCTAACCCTGCCCACCCCCAAGCAAAATTTCAAGCATCAACAAATACATTTCACTAAAGAAGAGAATTGTCTCACATCTCAGTTTCTGTAACTCACCTTCCCGGTGTTGGGACGCACCTTTTTTCTAGCCTGCACCCACTACTGCAAGTGGCTTCTTTACTAGGTTTCTGTAGCAGCTAATAAACAGAATGAGGCTTTCATTTCCCCAGCTCACCTTTGAGTTGAATTCATCAACATACGGAGTAAATGAAGATGCCACTTGACTTATGAGACAGAGAATTGTTGGGTGAGGAGGTGAAAGGGAAGTCCATGCCACACACTGTTGTGGCATCTGCCAGCCTTCCCTCATAACCTCACCTGGGACCACAATCCACTTTTAGAAATCCTCAGTGGCCCTTGCTCATGGAAAAACACTCCCTGAAGGTGTAGAGATTTATTTTGGTCTCTAACCTAGCCACGATTCTCTTGAGTGGAGATTAAATGCTTAAACTGGCAGTCTCCCGAGCATGCTTTGGGGAGCTCAAGTTTCTAAATCTCAGATGGAATCAGAAAAGTGTTGAGGATGCCATAAAATAAATGAAAAAGCTCTTTCTGCGCAGCTTCCCAAAATAGCATTAGGTAAGGGTGAGTTCTGTTTCGCTTGAACCTAGTTCACGGCTGTGTAGCTGCACCTCGGGTCATGCTCATTAGGAAAGTCTTCTGGGTTGAGGGTCTCAGGAAAAGAGGCAACCAGCAGGCCACAAGGCATGCTCTATGGCTGTGTGTTCTGTTGCTGAGAGCCTGAACACAGCCCACACTGAGGATGGACTAAAATAAACTGCCTAGATTGCCCTTGGACCATAGGTCAAAGACTTCTTCTGTAGTGACTTCTCCCAGTAATAGCCTGGCCTTCAACACAGAACTGCCTTTGGACAAGAGGCCCATTTAGATGTGTTCATTGTTGCTTGTGGGAAGCCCATTGTGCCATATCTGTGTCTGTGGGGAATGATGATAGCCAGTCGATGCAGCTGGGCAGTCATCACTGTTCTTTGTGACCGCACACATGGGGAAACTATATGATATAAATATTGCTGCTTATATTTGATAAAGGTAAAGCTAAATATTTATTACCCAAATGCGTTTTTTCAAGGTATTGATGGCACCTCCACATATACCAGTGGTGATCAGAAAACTATAAAGTCCACTAGGAAAAAAAACAGTGGGAAGACCCCACATCTCCTGCTAATGTTGTTGCCCTCCTACAGACTGGAGTCACAACAGTCCAGCCGACGGAAGAAGCGTGCTTTGGATGCCGCCTATTGCTTTAGGTAAAGAAATGGAAATAAAAACAAATAATGACTTCTGTTAACCCCTGCATTGTCTTTGCTTTTGCCTCCATATATTGACCTAAAGTGAAGTCATTGCTCAAGGCCAGTTTGTAGAGACAGTAAAGCTTTTGAATCTCATAACAGCATTCTCCCCAAGGACTAACTAAAAATATTTTATTTTTTATTAAAATATAATTATAGTACATAACTTCTTCCCTCCAACCCCTTCCTTTTATCCTATGCTCCCTCTCAAATTCATGGCCTCTTTTTCTTTGATTGTTATTGTTTTACACACACACACACACACACACACACACACACACACACATACACACAAATAACCATAAATGCAACCTGCTTACTCTACTTAGTGTTACTTATTTATATATGTTTTAGGCTGATCACTTTGGGTTGGATAACCAATAAGGGTTACATGTCTGGGGAAGACTAATTCTTCATCTCTTAGCCATCATTGATCATCTATAGACCTTCATCTGGGAGCAGGGCCCTGTGACATTTACCCCATCCATGCTGGCATGTCAATTGGTGTTGTCCTTGCTCAGGTCTTGTTTAGGCAGTCATATCATTGAGGTTTCCTGAGGACTTTCAACAGTTCTTTCTGTGCTGTGGTCCTTAGCTCTCTGGCAATGAAACAGGTGGGAAGTGAGAAAACTAGCCCTGGGGGTGTTTTCTTCAAGTCTCTCTGAAGTGCTTGGGTTCTGATAAGTTCTGATGACTCTTTGCCCACAAAACAAACGTAAGTTTCCTTGAGATTTTTGGCTACATCAGTAAGACCTATCACTTATGTGAAGTCTTCACCTGGGGTCTGATCTCTTTCTGAGTTATAGAAATAAGATGGTACAAGAAGGCCAATGGCCATACCTTGAGCTGCAAGAATTTGTTTGCCACTTTTGCATGAATTCCTGAAGGGGAAGATGCATGCATGACCATCTGTGCTTCCTATAGGGGGAGGACTCCTTGTTTTAGAAGTTGTGGATCAGGGGCAGGGGCCTCTTCATGAGGTGCTCACCATGTCATAGGTCACAGGTAGAGGAGGACATTTCGGTTGACAGAGACGGTGATTATGGCAACAAGACTCCCTATTTCCTGAACTCTGATTCATTCCTAGATCTAGCCAATAAGTGGTAAAGCATAGGATATATTCTCAAAGAGAAATGCCTCCAGGGGCTCTCTGAAAATATCTGTTGTATTTTGTCCATTGTGTGCACAAAATAGCAGTAGAGACTGGATGGTAGCTGTTCAGCAGGAAGGACTCTGCCCCTTTCAACTGTCTTCTTGCTTACTCTTAATTCATTGAAGATGAATAATGATTTTTCCAGGTCATAGACAAAAAGGCCAGGGTATAAAATACATCCAGGACAGTAGTCCAGGGACTCATGATGGTATCTCACTGTTGACATCGTGTAAGGTGACAAGAGAGCCCTCCTAGCCAGTTTCATGGTGTTTGCTATGAGTGGAATGAGTTAATGGGTCATTTTTTTGACTCAGGGTGAGATACATGTGAAATCAACTCCCAAATCCCCACTGCTTCTTCTTTTAACAGAAATGTGCAGGATAATTGCTGCCTTCGCCCTCTTTACATTGATTTCAAGAGGGATCTTGGGTGGAAATGGATCCATGAACCCAAAGGGTACAATGCCAACTTCTGTGCTGGGGCGTGCCCATATCTATGGAGTTCAGACACTCAGCACACCAAGGTACGTATCTGAATTGTTCGTCTCTCCGACTCTTGCCTAAGTCAGTGATAATAATAATAACAACAATAACAACAATGCCAAACTCAATAGTTATTGTGAAATACAATGTATATATTTAAGATGGATATCTCTATAACTTCTTTTGTTGGTTGCTTTTTTTGATACAGGATCTCATTGTGTAGCTTTGGCTGTCTTGAAATTCACTATGTAGATCAGGCTGGTCTTGAACTTATGGCAATCCTTCTGTCTCTTCTGTCTCCCAAGTGTTGGGATTACAGGCATGCACTACCACTTCTGTCTCTATAAATCTTTATGGCTAGGACCCAAAGCAAACACATAGCTAAATATTTTATCAAGCTTCTTCAGTAAGGGCAGAGGACTAACTCAGCAAGAAGATCCAGGACTGGATGCCATGTGTCCCCAGCCCAGATGAGCACAACGTTTTCTATGTACTGATCTATTCATCCATGGGCTTCCTCTTTGTGGCTTATGATGTAGGATTTTAGAGATGGGAAGACTTCAGACATGGTCTTGTTCAAACAGGATTTTTCTAAAAACAAAGAAATTAGATTTAGATTGTGTGGGTGCCTTGCCCAAGATGAAAGTGAAAAAAGTGGCAGCCCAGAGCTTGGATCGCAGCCCCGCTTGTTTTATAACCCGGTCCCCATTGCTCCATCTTTCTGAGCTTAATTCCTAAAATGTGGCAGCAAGGAGAGGTTTCTATTCTGCTCTTTATGCTCTGTAAATCTCCTTATTAAAGAGGCATTAGAAACATTGCCTTCACTGCAGGGTAGGAAAACGAATCTGCTGCCAGAGAGATCGCATTTGGCTGAATTCAAGAGTTGGGGGGTTATCGATTATTTTAGACAATTCTGTGTTATTAAAAAATGGCTCTTTCCTGCTTATGAAAAATTATGTATTAGTGGAATATGAGGTCTATTTACTTCTAAATGCCTGCCTGGACTGGAATCGAAATGAGCAAACATGGCTTCCCCTCCTCCAGTCATCTTCCCAGTGCCCCTGTAGGCTTGGCACTCAGGGCTGACCACGTGCTTGGCCATGTGAGGGAAGCTGGCTCATGCCGTCCCTTTGTCTGAGTTCTCTGGCCAGCCTGCTTCATCTGGACTGCAGCGGCAGTAGCTGTAACGCGGGCAGGGCCCAGTTGCCAAGTCGAAACGTAATTCTCCTCCCTGATACACAGAGGGAGTGTGTGAAGGCTGAGGCCAAGCTTGTTTTTCAAGGAGAAGGAAGAATAACTGTCATGGTCACAAATATGTGGTTTGGACAGTTCCCCAAGAAGCCAGGGGTAGCCTAATAAAGTATTCAGTGTTGCTGCGCTCAACAGGTCTCTTGTCCTCAGTTGAAAACATCCCAGGGAATCTCGAGGAAAAGGTCACTTGTTTGACTAACACATTAATGGCATCCTTGGAAATATCTCTGTCATCACTGGGTAACCTACACACTTCCATCAACAAGAGCCACACACTCCTGTGATGGAGAATGGGATAAAACTACAGACCTATGTACAGCACTTTCTCTTCTATTGTAGGACTAGGTATTTAGTTCTTGAACTTGGTCATCCCCATTTAGCATGAAGAATGTTAATGGAGGGTCAGTGACTATTATTGATTTAAGCAAAATAGAAGAAAGTGAACAGTTGGAACTATAGATTAACTAGTTGGGTAGGGTAGTGCACACCTGTAATTCTAGAACTCAAGTGGCTAAGGCAGGAGGATTGTGAGTTTAAGGCCAACCTGAGCTATATAGTGAGTTCAAGGCCAGCCTGGTCTATTATATAGTGTGGGCTACAAAGGGAGACTTTGTATCAAAGTGAAACAAAACGAAACAAAAAGAATCCACGTGGCTTTCGTGTTGCCTTTTCCTCTCTTCTTAACACCACTGTAATTATGCATCATTGTAAGGAGAAGGATTTTCTTAAGAAGGAAAATGTGAGTGACATGTCACTGGCTTGTGAAGTTGTCTGGCAGGAAGCTGTCCTGCTGCAGGCGGGCATCCTGTCTATACCTGAGGGTTGATTACAGCTCTTGTAAGAATTATTACTCCTCCGTTTATCATTTTGTCACTTAGCATATGAGTTGTATACTGTCCAGACAAGACTTCCTGGAGTTACAAGGCATAAACAAAGTGAGCAGAGCCCCTGAACTCAAGGAGCTCTTAACCTGCGTGGGAATATAAAATGAGTATTCATGAAACCTTGGTTTATATGGAATTTATATCGAAACAAGACCTTATAGCAGGAGGCCTGAGGCCTTTGTACAGCAAAGGCCAGTAGATTTATTGGAAAAAAAAATAGGAAAATCTGCTAACCGAACAGTTTGGTATAATCTGACTTTTTATGGAATAATTTGTTTAATATGTACAAAAAGAACAAAAGGCAGCCTGTGGGAAAAGTCTAAATTTGTCATTGTTAAGGACACAAGCCAGTCTGACCATAACTTAGAGGTAAGAAAACAAATAATTGAGATTGCCTACTCAGTGGCCCTGAGCTGGGGAAGTGACTTGGTGTGTAAAATGCACTAAGCATGAGGACCCGAGTTCATATCCCCATCAATCACATAGAAGCCAGATGTGGTGATGTACTCTTATAACCTCAGACTGTGAGGGACAGAGACAGGAGCATCCCTGGAGCTCGCTGACCAAGCCAACCTAAGCCAAACCAACAAGCTCCAGATTCAGCAAGAGACCCAGCCTAAGATAGATAGATGGATAGATAGATAGATAGATAGATAGATAGATAGATACATAGATAGATAGATAGATAGATAGATAGATAGATAGATAGATAGATACTTAGATACTTAGATACATAGATAGATACATAGATACCTACATAGATAGATAGATAGATAGATAGATAGATAGATAGATAGATAGATAGATAGATAGAAAGAAAGAAAGATAGATAGATAGATAGATAGATAGATAGACAGGTGATAGATACATAGATATATGATTGATAGGTAGATGGTAGATAGATTGACAGATATATGATAGATAAATACATAGATAGATGATAGATAGATTGATGATTGATAAGTAGATGGTAGATAGATGATAGATAGATCGATACATAGACAGACAGACAGACAGACAGACAGACAGACAGATAGATAGATAGATAGATAGATAGATAGATAGATAGATAGATAGATAATGAAGTGGAGAGAGACTGAGGAAGACACCCACCATCAACCTCCGGCCCCTGCTTGTAGGTGCACACACATGCACATAAGTACAAAATTTAAACACAAATGAAACTAATCACTTGCTTGTGTGTGTGTCCCTGTGTTGTGTCCCTCAGGTCCTCAGTTTGTACAATACCATAAATCCTGAAGCCTCTGCTTCCCCTTGCTGTGTGTCCCAAGATTTGGAGCCACTGACCATCCTCTACTACATTGGTAACACACCCAAGATCGAACAACTTTCCAACATGATCGTCAAGTCTTGCAAATGCAGCTAAGGTCCTCAGAAAAGCCACAACACAAAAATCACGGTGACAATGACGCATGACAACGACAGCGACGACGATGATGATGATGTCTATGACATGAGGGAGTTTTGATTCATCAGTGTTTAAAGGAAAAAAAAAAATGGAGAAAAAGCGGTACTAGTTCGAACATTTTGCAAGCTTGTGTTCTGTTTGTTAAAACTGGCACCTGAGATTACAGCGACAAAAAAACCACGGAAGGCTCTAGTCTGCATTTCGCCTACTTCGTGAGAGACACAAAAAGAAAACATCTTTTTTTTTTTAAAAAGGAAAAAATAAACACTGGAAGAATTTGTTAGTGTTAATTATGTGAAAGTAAAACAAAACAGGAAATCCGTTCAGTGGAGTTGTACGTGTCGTTTCCACCCACACCTCACCCCGCGCTCCCCTGGTTCCTCGGTATTGCTCTGCAGTGGGCACCTTCCCCGTCCCTTCCTCTGAGCTAACAGTGGGTTATTTATTGTGTGTTACTCTATAATGAACCTTTCATTGCCCTTGGAAAACAAAACAGGTGTATAAAATGGAGACCAAATGCTTTGCCACAAACTCATGGATGGCTTAAGGAATTTGAACTCAAACGAGCTGGAAAAACAGGCGGTCATACCAGGATGAAATCCCTATGAGTCCTTATATAGAGAGGGCTTAAGTCTGCAAGAGTGTAGAAGCCCAAAGAACACGAGCTGTGCACCACTTGCCTGCAGAAGCTTCACGGGCGGCCATACACTGAGAAGGTCTGCTAAGGAAGAAAGCCTGGAGTCAGTGGGGATCTGGGAGATCGCTTTTTTTCCTTTCTTTTAATTGTAAATGGTTCTTTGCCAGTTTAAGCAAGCCAGTGAAATGTTGACCTGTTTTGACGTGTTTTGTCAGATTTTGGACCGTGAAGTGGCTGTAGAGCTCCGATACAGGTTTTTTTCCTTTGTCTTGGTATATGTAATCACACTGATACTATTAAAATAGATGGGTCTAGAAGCCAGCATAATTGAAAACACATCTGCAGATCTGTTTTACAAACTATTAAATCAAAACATTAACTACTTTATATGTAATATGTAGATCCTTACCGTATTTTTGATATTCTGTAATAATGATTATGATTTAGATTGAACTTAAATTTGGACTCTTTTTTTTTTAATGGTCCTTCAGATTGTATGTTTGTTTCCTTTAGCTGGCCAGTATCTTTGAATAAAACCCCTAGATTTCGACTTGCACTACAAATTCATTTTTTTTAAAATAATATCTTTTATGTTTGTCTTTTATGTATTGCCCATTTGATGACATAAGATACCCGGGTCCATTTTTCTCCTTTTCCTTTTCTTTTCCAAAAGATAAAAAACAAAAACAAACATACAAACAAAACCAAAAAGATATGCTTGACAGTCGTCGTCCATCTTTTCTGTCAGGACTAACTAGTCAGGTCCGATGACAGAGCTTCTCCTGGGAAGATGGAGATGTGTGAAAACAGAGAACTGAGCCCAAGTGTAGTTTTAGAGAGGGTTTAATACTCTGAACTCAGAATCTTGGTGACTGGGCTAGGAAAAGTTTCTCTGGCTTTCTTTAATTCATATATGTGTGGAATTTTATTGCTGTTTAAAAGCAGACAGTTAAAAAGAAAAAGCACCTTTTTCTTTAATCAGGCTTTGGGTTTTATGGGGAGGATTGAAAGATATACACTTTGGTTGGGTTTTTCAAAGGAGGAAAAAGTCCTGACCAGCATTCATCATTTCATTAACTACCCTGAAGTTCAAGTTTTCAAAGAAATTCTTTGAAGGCTGAAAAAGCACAAGCCGAATTCTCCATTGTTAAAATATTCTTCCTTTCACCTGAATGAGAATGCTCTACAGCGGAGGGTGGCTTTGGCTTGAGGAAATGGGTGGTCCATCTCTGAGGGGCGGGACCTGGCGGTGGGCTTTGCAGGGCATCCTCCTCACTTCCTCAGCTTCAAGATACAAACTAGGCCACAAAACAGTGAAATATTTATGGTTTCCCAAAGGGTAACACAGTGAGGTGTGAATACAAAGAGAAAGTCTTTGATATGGTTGGCATACTTGTTTGGGGAGCTTTCCTCAAAATTCATTAAGACGAAGAACAGGATTTGTAAGCCCAAAAAGAGACAGAGCAAGTGCTGGTGAATGACCCTTGTGTCAGGCACAACACAAACCCAGATTTGCCTGTGTGTTCATCTTCTCCCCCTTACACTTCTCTGTTATTTCTGTATAACCCCTCTTATTTCTGCAGATATTTTTCTCTCAGATAAAATGACATTTTTGTTCTGTATGATTTTGTCTCTCCTTCTGAATGCACTGACTGCTCTTTTTTTAAGTTTCTTGAATCTCTCTCTCTCTCTCTCTCTCTCTCTCTCTCTCTCTCTCTCTCTCTCTCTCTCTCTCTCAAGTCTGTGGGGTCTACAGGTCTTTATTTCCTATTAGTAAATATTGCCATGGGAGGGGTTGTAGGAGGGGGCAGGGGGTGTGTTAGCATATGGGCGGGGCAGCGGATTGTATGTGTTAAGCAACAGTACAATTTTATGGTTGGCATGGTTTTTAAAGAATGGAATATAAGAATAGCTGTTATGTGTTTTGATGACCAATTATACTGTATTTTAACACAATGTATGTCTGGTTTTTGTGGTGCTCTAGTGGTAAATAAATTATTTCAGTTATATGTTGCTGTGTTCTTCCTGTCAAAGAATCATGTTTGAGAGTAGAAACCACATGTGACCTAGTGAGGTGACTGTGTACACTGGAAAAGCTGTGCTTAAAGCTGTTTCCTGTGCTTTTATCACACAGCTGTTCACTTCAGAAATACCATGCTACGGCTTCAGAGCCAGGACATAGCTATCAAGAACCGGAGAAAGGCTTTGCTGTCTTTTTATTTTCTCATTTATTACTATTTGGTAATTGTTTGGGATTTAGTTTCCACCCAGCTTGAATGTCTACCAGGAAAAAAAAAATGCAGAGATATTTGGGCCATGATTAGGCTTTCTGGTTCTATGTTCTGCCAAACCCAAGGCCAAAAGAACTGGTCTAGACAGGATCCCCTGTCGCCCCATAACTTGGATAGTTACTGAGCCGGCCAGATATAACAAAAGCCATGTGCACTCTGGGGTCGCTGCTTGAGAGCAGTTACTTCTGTCTCAGTTTTACCCATAGCACTGCACACACACACACACACACACACACACACACACACACACACACACACACACGCCATTCTCTCAGATCTCCTTGGTTCTTACCTATGGGGCCCCACTTCTCAAGTGAGTTGCCAGCCTCTCAATAAATAGAATGAATGAGAAAGTAGATGAGACTCGGTCTGCTCTTCTTGCTTTGTCTAATGGAAGAACTTGGTTGGTGCCCATTGTGTTGTCCACATGTCACGGAGACAAGCCATCAGTTTGAGCATGGAAGCAGACTAGAGGATGGGTCTCTTCTCTGCCATCTTGTCACTTATTTCTACCATCACATCTTGTTTGATCTTAAGCGAAGGAAGCGTTTTACTCTGACCTGAGTCCAGGGTTCTGTGTAGAGTGAGCTAGCCAAAATCTGTCACCTATCCCAGTTCATAGCACAATTAATTGATGGGTGAGAATGAAAGGGTAGTATACAGGCCAGACAATGAAAAGATCCACCCAGGAGCCCCCAAAACATTAGAAATCTTCCCATTCACTCCCTACACTAACTGTATCACTCCTTCTTCCTCCCTTCCTCCCTCCCTCCCTCCCTCCCTCGCTCCCTCCCTTTCCTCCTTCCTTCCTTCCTTC